GTGTGTGTGTGTGCGAGTGTATGGGTTTGTGAGTGCGCAAGTGTGTATGTGTATGCATGAATGTTTCGTTAGTTTGTGCGTGCGTGTTGTTAGAATGTTTGGGTTGAAAGCATGGTATTGACGTCGCATCAACATCATTTTTTTGTGCCTAGGCTGTGCTGAAAGCATTAGTTAAAAACGTTGCCTCTATTTGATCAGTACTTCAAAGCTCTGAATGTCGAGTAACAAAAACGTGGTGGACCACGCGTCATAGCGGAAATGACTGAGGTCAAAAGCCACTTGTTCTATTTGACAAAGATAAATCAGACTCTTTAAAATTTGCAATGCCTTACATTTTACCATAAGAAAAAAAAGTTGCTGTTGATCAAGATTTGTTCGTCCATTGATCGACAATCTCTTTTATTTTTAGCGTCCTGTCGCCTTAATGACACAGTCGGGTTTGTTTTTATTTTGTTGTTGTTGGGGTTGGGTTTTGGGGGGGGGGGTTGGGAGGCGGGGGTGTTTATTTGTTGTTGGAGTTGGGTTTTGTCGGGGTTTTTTGGGAGGTAGAGGTGTTTGTTTGTTGTTGGGTTGGGTGTTTTTTTGTCTTGGAATGTTAAATGCCCATCAACCAATCCCTCTCTTGGAATAGACATTCTCATAACATCATTACCCAGATGTTGCTAAAGACAAGGAAACCCGTAAAGGACAAATATAAAAGGATCCAGGCATCGATCTGGTCAATTCAAACATGCTCCATCAAAAGTGAGCAAATTTCACTGCCAGGCTGTACATCGCATCCCGTGGCAACCAGGTAAATAACGAGCCAGCGGACCCGCGCTCATTCCTGGTCATTGTTTGATGACGCAGGGGCGCGAGCTGTGCATTATTCTGATCACCAAATGAGAATTCCTCTCCGCTCATTTTGCTCATTGGTGGGGGTGTGAGCATTAACAAAATAGTATGTCTAATGTTTGAATAATTGCTTCATCTCAAACAAGAAAGGGTTCACGGTAATCGTGCCCTCTGAAAGAACAAAGAGTGTAGACGGTAATTCTGATTTTTTTTCGATAATTCCTTTTTGGTGTGGTTGTAGACATATATCATTTGCATTCTTAGCTTGTATTTGAGTTGCAGCGGTCTGCCCAACCCTCAACGATGAATGAAATTAATAAAATTTGTAAACGTTGCCGAATACAATAAGATGAGCCGACGCTCCACATTCGTTACACATACATGTGTTGTAGTTTTTGTGTTCTTTTTTTTTTTGGGGGGGGGGGGGAAGTGGTAAATGTTTTACGGCTCTCGCAACTGCATAAGGTCATTTGAGCGCGCGGGACGCATTTTAAAAAAAATTGCTGGTAGGAAATTTTGAATTTTGCCGGGGTGGTGGCCAAAACCTACTCTAATCGATTTTCGACCACCAAGGGATCTTTAACGTTACACACGCAACTACGAAATTCTTCTCCTTTGTTGACATACAAATGCACATAAAGTTTGTAACTCCTCTGTCTTTGTAAACAACCAAAACAATGTCTTTCCCAAGGAGATGAATGAAGATTGTCATTGTCACTGTCACTGTCACTGTCATTGTCACTGTCACTGTCACTGTCATTGTCATAATGAATGCATGGAGTCACCTTTAGCACGTCCAATACTATAGAAATGATCGACAGAAAAAGCAAGGGAGACTATTATGTCCTCCAGAGGGTCAGGTCAAAGTGCAGGAAAAGGAGGTTGGTGCTGCACCTGCTTTTGAACGGTATTATCCAACAAGCGCCTAACTAAAGAAAAGTACTGTCCATAAAAAGTCTTCGATAAAGAAAAATGTCGTATGGTTCAATAATTTCTAACAGATTAGGGCAAGGAAGGAACTCCCAACATTAAACTGCGATGAAATAGAATCACGACCCAAAATCAATGTCGATGGGAAATATTGTTGTCGAACTCAGTTTGGGAAGTCAAGACTTGTTACGTACATTTATTTTATTTGTCATCCTCACGCCATCCCCGCCCACCTCACCCCTACCTCCTTCACCTAC